ACAGAATGCCTTTATTTGTTTAATTTTATGTGATGCTAAGGATCAAACCCAGTCCTTCACACAGGCTAGGCAAGTGCTCTGCCACTGAGCTAGAGCACCAGCCCAGCTTCTATGTTTTAACATACAAAATACTATAAAACTTAAAATTTTGAAACATAAAATGCCTTTGAACTAAAATTTTAAAGGTATGAGCTCTCTAGTCTCACAAAAGCAAAATTAGGTTTAAAATTTTCAATGAAAATTGAAAAATTGATAATTTTGTATTTCTATAAACACACCAAAAGTAACAACCTGGAAATACTATATACATATTTAGGATAATTTCACATAAGCTTTCTTAGACCCATGCTTGCCTCTTTGCAAATATTCTAATATCCAAAAGTTCATATAAATAATCTTATCTCCGTGTATATCTTGCCATGAAAATATTACTTGTAGCCAGAAATTTCAGAATGTTAAATTCTTCAGGACAAACAATTTAGTTTTTTTCAACAAAAATGCAAGGAAAGGAGAAAGAGAATTGGGAAACCTAAAAGAGATATAAACAACCATAGCAACCAAACACAATGTGTGATCCTTACTTGCATTCTAATTCAAACTAAGCAACTTAAAAAATTTCTTTTGAGCCAAATGAGGATATTGATGCTATTAAATTAAATTAATTGATGCTATTAAAGAAATATTTAGGTGTAATAGTGGCAGTATGGTTAAATTAATGAAACTTTTATCTTTTAGGGAAATATTTAAAAATATTTATGGATGAAATGATAATGATATCTAGAAATGAACTCAAAATAATCCAGTGGGAAGAGGACCATTAGATGGTAAAGATAAAACAAGGTTGGCCCAGCCATGAGGTTAATTAAAACACAATGTAATGTATTATAATACAATAAAATTATAATAAAAAATAATTTTACTAATTTTTCCACCTTTGGGTATGTTTGGAATTTTCCACTTTAAAAATGCATTTTAAAAATTAAAGAAAAAAGTGCTTGAAATATAGTACAATATATCTTATTCAACAATTATCTTGGATCACAATAGGTCACCTTAATTTTAGAAACTGTGAATCATAAATATGGCTTTGAATATAGTCACAGATATAAATAGTAAAATCACAGTATCTGAAGAAAAGGAAATTTCTTATGCTTCCTAAACCTCATTGTTTTCTCAATTTGAGAATAGAAACTGCTTCACTGGCTAAATCAAAGCTGTCTCCAAATATGCTTAATTACTGATTTAATAAACATTCCACCATTGTAAGTACAAATAAGAACTTAAGTTGAATTCAGCTAAACTTTGACTCTGTTAAGGTAATTGAGCAACAGGGAACTGAGGTTGAATTGAATTTCATAATAGATTCTCAAATCCTTTATCTTTTTCTACATCTACTTTTTTTCTGGGAGAACAAATTTTGGCACAAATAGTTATCATCTATATCAGTTCTTTGCAGTCAGCAGTGTATACTGAATCAACAAACTCTAAAAGCCCATTTAAGTAATTTTAGTGCTGATATGAAAAAAATCTATTAAGACTAAACTACCTTTGTAGAAATTACAAGAAGTTGACATTAGCAATTACAGTAAGATTATTATTTAAACTGTAATCAGATGTTAATATGGAAAGACATTTGTGAACATTCTCCCCAAAAGTAGTGGGGGAATAAGAACCATGATTCTCCCACACTTCCAATAAAATGTGGTAAAAGGCACAGAATCTTAAAAGATCATTTGCTTGATCTCATTGCTAGCATTGTTAGTTTTTAATGCCGTATTTTTCTCCTAGTTTCTGCTGTTTTAGATTTTACCATATATTGTTGAATCCAAGTCAAAATGAAAGGAGCAAGGGTGTCTGACACAGTCTAGGGATCAAATAGTTTCCTGAAGCATTAGCTACATTCCAGTGTATAAGCAGGTACTATTCACTTTGGATAGTCAATGTAGAAGGATTAGGGCACATGGAATGTTACCGCTGATGCAGATGTCACCTGCTGGGGCCTGCTGGCCACAGATAGGCACCTTGGATCACAGCCCTCTGCCAACCTGGAAGATCCCAGCCCCTGAGGATCCCCAGACATTCTCTTTCCTTCTGCTCAGAGGCCCCCATCTCCACTCCCACTCCAGCGACCCAGACCTAGTGAACTAAATGCTCCTCCTTCCTCCAGTTCAGCAACTCCCAAACCTATCGCCTCTTGGTCCCTCATCCCAGGACTGTGCTATCTAACTCCTTGGGCACTTTTCAGTCTTCCAGATGCGCAAAGTGGCCCTCAGGGCCAAGATTTGGAGAGGATTGGATAGGTGACAGGGGAAGGATTTGCAATATGACCTTCCCTGGACTTGGAGGGGTGCCTGGGTGAACTAAGTAAGGACTTAGGGACTAGCTGAAGAGAGGCAACGAAAATCACATCAGCAAGGAAAAACTCACAGGACACTCTTCTGATTCCTCCCAGTTCTGTTGATTGCTTTAGTTTTTATGGGAGGGGATGTGACCTAGTGAACTCCAGTCCTTGACCTTCCCACTGCTCCAGGGAGGCTCTTTCCTCTGAAGACTCAGAAGAGAGCCCAGGTGCCAAGCTTAGGGAACTGACAGAATGCAAGTCCTTTAGCGCCTCGGATCTACAAGAGAGAAATGCTCTTTCTGGTATGAGGGGACAGTGACTAGAGGCTAGGAGAAAGATTGTGGCACCCGGGGCCTTCGTGGGTCTTTGGCTTTTGGGACCTGCGGAAGGCTCAGACTGGAGCTGGTCGTGGGTGTGGGTAGATTTAGTGACTACGAAAGCAGACAGGTCCCAGTGCTGAGGGTCCTTTGGCGACTTAAGTTCTCTGAGTTTGTCAGTCTGCAAAATGCGGGGTAGGAAGGAAATCTAGGGTCTTCCTCATGGAGTATTGGAAAGGTTAAAGGAAACCCAGAGCCTGCTTGACAAGAAGCAGAGGAATGACAACCACTAATAATAATCGTGCTCTTATATACTAAAGGATAGGACAGGGGGATGAGTCCCTTTCCCCAAGTTTACCTCCTGCCCTCTTCCAGCCTTTGCACCGCTCAATCCCTGGCTCTTTGCTCTGGCCCTTGGGCTACTCTCCAGAGCAGCTCCAAGTGGAGTGCATTCCGAGTGCATCCCAACAGCCTGTTCTCAATAAGTCGGGTCCAAGGGTCTTCTTTGACCCTCCACTCTTAGCAAAACTCGAAAGCGACGAGGTTTTTACCCTCAAACAACACGTCACCCTTGAAAACCTCAAGAACCGGGCCGAGCATCCAGAACTGTGACCTAGAGCTGTGCGCGGTCTGGAAGGAGGTTGGCAGAGGCCTGGTCACCAACCGAGCGCGACATCCCCTCTGCACATTTTTCCCCACCGACCGGCCGCCGGCGCCCAGGGGACTGCAGTACCTCCATTAGGGCCGGCCAGCGGTAAGGACTCGGCAAGCCTTCGGAGTTCTTGAACCCGCAGCACCAGGCGACCATCCACTTTGCCAGCCGGCGGCCCTCTTGGTGCTGTCGCAGCGCTCCCGGCTCTGGGATTGCGTTTGTTAACTGAATACAGGGACAAAGGGAAATTGAACTATGAGCGGGTGAGAACAGGAATGAAATAGGACCCGTCGACGCTTGGTTTGTTTCCAAATTCTCAGATTCCGAGACCTGCCAGATTTGCCAAAAGGGGTCTATTTTTCGGACACCAGTGGTGCTGTGCGGGTGAAAACTGCTTATGCAAAGGGGAGAGAAATTGGAAACTACCAAGCGTGGGGCCTGGGAACTTTCCCAACTTTCCCACGAGTGGGAATCGCAGGTAGGGCGCGTCGAAGATCCAAATAATGGAATGTATATGCGAAGCCAACGTTTAAAAATCAGCCAGTTAGTTAAATGACTGTAAGAGTGTGTGCCATTTTCCTTCCCTCCTGAAATGAGAAATTCACAACTATGTCTGGGGAATGAATAGGGGAACATTCACAGAATGACTTTCTTCAAAGACGCCTGGAATATAATTCTCAGGAAACATGAACTCTGCTCAGAAAGGGTTCAAAACGACTTATCTCTAGAAATTTGCTTCTCACCCCCCGCACCCCGCAGTATTTCTTGATGATCATTCTTGCCTTTCTCGGTTCCCCCACTTGGTCACCTGAAGCCCAGCAATGGCTGCAAATCTTTTCAGAAGCTTTTGTTGTTTTAAGAAAAAGCTTTGGAAATCTTAGTGCTTTGATATGTGTGTATCCTTTTTCTCCTGCATGAATGTCCACTACTTTTCAATTTGACCTCAAAGCATACTCCAGCTTAAAAAAGTCAACACATTAAAAAAAAGAAAAACAAAAACAAAAGGATAATACATATCCTGGTATTCTTTTTCTTCTAGAGATTTCATTAATACCAAATCTCCCATTTTAAAAGGCAGGCTTTTTCAAACTCAAATATTCAAAATGTTTTAAAAAATTAAACATTGGTTGTTTCTTATATTCATAAATGAATATGAATCCTAAAAACAAGTTGTTTAATTGCAGGGAAAGAATATAAGTTTTAAATGATGTTCCATTTACAAACCAAATAATGAGACATTGGTAGAATATAAACGATGTAGTGTTGGGATTTAGAATTTTATTTAATTTGTAGAGCAAAGCTTCATTTTAACACTTTCCCATGGAATATGGCACATCAAATAAACATAAGAAATAAATGTTCTGAAATTGAAATTCCTTTGTATTAGATATGTATTTCAGGAGGACACAGAGAGCATACGCATTCTGCACTATTCTGGGGCATACTTGCAGTTCCTAGGGAACAAAGAATGGGGAAACTCTGCATTGGAGATTCTGCTTTCTTTGTTTTTCTTTTAATACCAAAGCGAAAATATCCCATTCTTGTTCACAGTTCATCAGGAAAAGTGCAAATCGGAAAAACTGTGGAAGCCTCGGGAGGTGATGGAGCCGGACAGTGGATGGTACCGCTCTGACACCTGACTCCAGGTGCGCCCAGCGGGGTTGGCCAGGAGGCAGGGTGTCCTTACTAATCAAAAGGCTGGTGAAGTCCCCTCTCCACCAGAAGAGGCGGCCAGCGAAGTCGGTCTAGAGCCCTCTGCTACCGGCTGGTACCTTAGTAGCGCCGCGACGGCAGACAGGTGCCGGCCCAACAGCGTTCCTTTGCTGGTAGCACAGCTGCTGACACAGTGCTGCTGCTGCTGCTGCTGTAAAATTGTCCGAGCGGCGGACACGTTCAGCAACGGGCCCTGGGGGTGCAACAGGCACGACGGGTGCTGGAGCAGGTGGCAGTAGCCCCATGGAGTCGGGGGCAGACTCTGCGTGGCCCTTCTTCCCTCAGCGCTGACTCCTTGCATAATACTCTCAATGCTGAAGGAGGTGTGCCCGCCTCTAGGCCTCGACACCGGGCCCTTGCCCTCCTCCCAAGGCTGTGAGCCCAGCGAGGGCTGCAGCGACTGGAGAGTGCTGGGAATTGCCAAGTCCGCGCGTTCCGCACTCCTGGGCGCTTCAGCCGGGGCTGAGAGCAGCAGGTAGCGTAGTGGATGTGGGTGCAGCAGGGCACACTGGCGGCTCCCGGGTGTGGTGGTGGGATAGGCCCCCAGGGCAGGCTGCGTCGGGACCGGGGACCCAAGCAGGAGGCCTGGGTGGGGGCCGTGCAGGTTGGCGGGCGCGGCAGGCAGTGGGAAAGGGTGGTACAAGTGACCGCCTTGGGACGGGTGGTGGCGCTTGAAACGCTTCCTTCGTCGAAGGAAGCTGCCGTTGTCAAACATGTCCTGGGAGGCGGGATCCAGGCTCCAATAGTTGCCCTTGCCGGGATGGCCCGGCTCGCGGGGGATCTTGACGAAGCAGTCGTTGAGCGAGAGGTTGTGACGAATGCTGTTTTGCCAGGCTGGGAACTTGCGGCGGTAGTAGGGGAAGCGGCCGCTGATGAAGGCACAGATACCGCTGAGCGTGAGGCGCTTGTGCGGGCTCTGCAGGATGGCCATGGTGATGAGTGCGATGTACGAGTAGGGGGGCTTGGTCGGCTGCGGGGCATCCCCAGAGGCCGCCGCGGACCTCGTCTGAGCCCTGAACTTGCTGACAAACTCCGGGGAGTCGCTCTGGCCATAGCCGCCCTCGGTGCCCTCTCTGGGAACTGGAATCGCAGCGGGTCGCGCCCCCTGAGGCCCGGGTTGGTGCGGCCGTTCTAGGTGTTTCGGGCTCCCCTCCACCTCCTGGTATTCCTCTTCCTCCTCGTCTTCATCTTCCTCCTCTCCCAGGACATCAATTTCACCGTCTTCTCCATCCGACCTTCGGAAGCTGGGCTGAGGTGTGAAGCGACTGCGCTTGGCTCTTGGTAAGCTCATGGAAGGGCAGTTATTGCAGACGCAGGGAAGGTGACGGTGACTCACCTGGCTTGAAGTGTGTTGCCCAAGATGAGTGTTTCAAGAATCAGAAACGCTAGTACGTTTTTAGTCTTCGATTGCGTTTGTTTCTTCTCCTTTCCAATACCATTCAGCAAATATGCACTTTGCCTTTTATTAAAGCTTCTTTGAGACCCTGAGTGCCGGATCCCCCTCCCCCGTTTATAACCTTCTTTCCCTACCTCAGAGCGGTGCCACTTCCCCTGACGCAGTCCAATAAGGAGGGTCAGCAGCGCAAACATTACTCAAGGGAGGAGCCCCTCAGCCCCCTCCTCCTTACAACCACCCGCCATATGTTTGGCTTTTCGAGTTTAACCAGCCCACTAGCCCTGGCATTGCCTGGGTTCTGTGAACATGCTTTAAAACTGTGTAAATAAAACTGAAGAAAATATGGTCTTCAGCGACTACCTTGACGTTCGGACCTTTCTGCAAACAGAATTTGGCAGTGGGGTAGAGCACTGAAATGTATATGGTGTTGAATTATCAGTAAAAGGATTTATTTGAGGAGGGGGATATTTCTTAGATGGTTAATCACCCACTTTCATTGGTGGATTTTGTCATCATCCAGAATGGTGGCCTGAATTATTTTTAAATATTCAGCCCGAGGAGTCTATTGTCCTTCCTACCTTCCATACAAGTTTCCCATATGCTCTCCCTGACAAAAAATTTTAAAAAGACTCAAATATCAGAGCACTAAATTGTGGCAATTCAGGGTGAAGTGAAGGCAGGATGACTAAATAGAGGATTCCCCTGCCTCCTCACAGCAGTAATTCTCCAACTTCTTTGAACATTTGGCTACAGTAAGAAATGTATTTGATACCATTATCTTGCACGTACAAATAAGCATGCTTAGAATGTGTTTCACAAAAAAGAAACCTTACACTACAGTGATCCCTGATATTTTCTTCTTTTTCTTAATGGTTATGATCAATTTAATTCACAACATTAAATTGGCCCCCAAACAAAGGGAATCTCTACCCATAAATGTCATTCTTTTTCTCTCCTTCTTCTGATCCTTCTACCTTTTTTAGACACACAAAGCATTTATTGTAATAACAGGAGTGGAATGACAACAGCTATTTAACTGACTCACCTAGAATCCTTGGAATTAACAAGATTTTTAGATTGGCTTCATTTTACTATACAAATAGGGTTCTTACGATAAAATATTAAGCCACAATACATAAATAATTTAAAACCCACCTACTTGGGGGAAACGGTGAGGTGGCATCTCATAGAATCACATAATCACATTAGTGTTTATAAAATGACAGTGAATTTTCAGAGAGAAATCAGAAGATAACTATAAGGGCAAAATATAATCAAAAAGTAGCTTCATACCTTCAGGATTAAAAGTAGAGTAGCTAGTACTTTTCAGACAGAATTTGGAGAACATCTTCCTTACTGTTAAGCCTTACTCTGTACTGCTGAAGTTTTAACCCTTCTAAGGCTTTTTAGTTAGATGCAACTTAAAGGAGAACAAATAACAGAAGGGTTGTGCCTAAGAGACTTGTGTCTGAATCCCAAATTTACCAATGACTATTTGTGTGATCTAAGCTTTTGGAGGGCCAGCACAGATGTCTCATTCAACCTGATTCTCCCCTCAAGCCTCTGGTAAGAGGTATATTTTTCCCCACTAGCAAAAGAATCAGATGACCTGGGAAAGGGAGTATTGTTAGTTTTCCTAAAGTCAACTTCTATGGGGATTTGGGTTATTTACAAATAAAAGGATGTTAAATATGTGCTCAAAAACGTACATTAATGAGTTTGTGTCAGAGAGGAACTGGAGACAACTGAAGAGCTCCCTGTAGCCAAAGCTGGGACAATTTAAGCAACAAAATAAAATAGTACTGGATTATAAAAGAAAGTACAAAATAAATGTATCCATATTGATAAAAACCAATGACTGTGTAAATTAATAAATGGGGGAATGAGAAAGCTCCCTTGCAGAAGAATCCCAAATAAATTATGTAGATATTCTGCCCATAAGGAGGTGGAATATAATTCTCCACTACTTGTGATTTACTTCCAGGGTACTATATGAAAGGGGGGGGGGGGGAGAGTAAGTAACCCTTTCCAGTGGAGAAACTTGACAAATACAACTTCAACAAACTGATCAAAACCAACATCAATTGCCTAGATCATGTTGATAGTACATACCTATGAGATGACATGATGAAAATGGCACTCTGATCTTTGTTCTCTAAATCTTAGTCTAACCATAAGAAAAAACATCAATAGAATGTTTTTAGAGAGCATCTTGTATACCTGACCAATATTCCAATAGAAGAGCGTCTTGTGTACCTGACCAATATTCCTCAAAACTGTCAAGATAATTAAAACAAGGGAAGTTTAAGAAATTGTCACAGTCAAGAGTTATATAACTACTAAATGTAATGTACTATCCTGCATGGGATTCTCAATCAGAAAAAATGTAAAAAAACAGGGAAACAAAAAATGTGAACTTTAGCTAATGATAATAAATCAATATTAATTCACTAATTGTACAAAGCTACCATACCATTGAAAGTTGTTAATAGTATGTGCATAGGGGTAAACTACTACCTGCTCAATCTACTGTAAATCTAAAACTTTCCTTTAATAATACATTCTTTTAAAAAATTAAACATGGAGAATAAAAGGATCTAAGAGACAAAAAACAGAAACGTAAATGACCATCAGCTGATGAGTTGATAAACTAAACATGACATATCCATACAATGGATATTATTCAGTAACAAAAAGGAATGAAGTACTGACACATATCACAACATGGATGAACCCTGAAAACATGATTCATGAAAGGAAGTTAAATAGGCAAATCTAAAAAACAAAAAGATTTGTGTTGGCTGGGGGAGGGGACAATGGAAAGTAACTGCTAAAGGCTGTAGAGTTTCTTTTAGGGGTAATGAAAATGTTCTGGAATTAGATAGTGGTAATATCTAACTGTAGGTATACTAAAAAACATGAAATTTATACTTTAAATGTATCAATTTTATGGCATATCAATTATATGTGAATAAAGTCATCCCCCAAATCAAATGTTAAAACAAAAGAGCTATAGCAATGAAAACTAAGTTGTATACGTTGGGAAAACTTAATAATGGTACATCACTCTAAACAAGAAAAAGGAATTCCTAACGTCCCACTCCATCAATTCCATAGTGTTGCCTTAAGAATCAAGTTTTAGCTGGGCATGGTGGTACACACCTGTAATCCCAGCTACTCAGGAGGCTGAGGCAAGAGGACTACCAATAGTTTGAGGCCAGCCTGGAAAACTTCCTAAGCCCCTATATCAAAATAAGAATGAAAGAGGGTTGGGGATTTCGCTCAGTATAGAGCATCTCTGGGATGTATCCCAAGTACCATTAAAAACAAACAAAAGAATCAAGTTTTATTTTGTAGCTTCTACAACATTTAACATAGTGCCTTACTGGGCACTCAAGTGTTTGGTGATCACTTCTTTGTTTTAATTTTGTTTTGCCAGAACAACATTCTAGTTTGAAAACCAAACCTTTCTAATCTAATCTTCAAGAAGAATGATGATGTTTATTTTTTCTCAATTCCACTCTATAAAAATTTAAGGTAATTTGGTCATCAACAGAGTTAAAAGGTAAAATTGATTCTACTATTAAGACTCATTCTGATAAAATAATTCTAATATCTTTTTTTCTCATTCAAATAGGGTGAGTTGTCAGATAGTCAAAAGCAGAATTCAATTCTTTCTATATCATCCCCACCAATTGTAAGGCATTTCTGGAAGTGAGAAAAATCTTCTTAAAGCAATCTAAAAATATAGTTTTCCCACCTACCAGTAATCTAAGGGAAACAATCAATTAGCAACCAAACCCATAATGTTCTAAAGTAGTGAAAATCATTAGGGTAAAAAGAAAAATCATTAGCTTTTGCTTTACTTTGTTGATAACTGCTTTTAACATTCACAATCTAGGAATTAAAAACTCTAAAAGATATTTTTGATTTTCCTAATTTCTACCCACAAGTCTATAAAATGACTAAATTTCTCTTTAATTTTAGAATATTATTTATTTATGCATTTGGTGCTGGGGAGTAAACCCAGGGATTTGGCCAGGTTAAGCATGTGCTCTACCACTGAGCTACAACCCCATGCCAAAGGAAACTTTTTTTGTATGGTGCTGGGCATCCAATCCAGGGCCATGCTCATGCTAGGCATTCTACCACTGAGCTACATCCACATCCCCCAAGACAACTTTTTAAAAATAAAAATACTATAATTTGAATAGAAGCAAACCCCCCAAAATTAAAAACAATACAACTCTGGGTAGCAAGAAGGGAAGGTGATAAAAAGCCACCCCCACCCCCACCCCACAAGTCTGCTTAGGAGTCTAACAAAATGAAATGAGCTATCTTTCTAACTCACACACCATTTGGTAGTCATTATGACAGAGAAAACTGAAAGTTTTTACCAAGATGACCTCTTGATCACCGGGTCCACCCCTCACAACTTATGCTGATACCTCCCTACATCTCTCATAAACTCAGTACAATTTTCTTGCCTCTTTAACTGGAAAAGGCCTCCCAAGGAAACATTTGTTTTAAGGTGTGCAGAAGCCTGAATTGTATATGCAAAAAAGTCTTGTAGAAAAGGGAATTCACATTTGTTGAGAATCTATTCAGGGTGTTTTAAATTTGAATCCCTGGAACAATCCAAAGAAAAGTTGCCTTGTTACTTCCATTTTATGAAATGAGGCTCAGCAAGTATTGTAATTTATCCTGTATCTCACAGGGATCTATAAAATTTCAGATGAACCACATCTAAACTGTGATGATAATGATCATCATCATATTACCCTGCAGATCTTCTATAGCATAAAGAAAGGTCCACATTAATATTATTATCAATTCCCAAACCTCTACAGAATATCTTTAGCAAGTTTCCAGTGTCCTGAAGGTATAGGCTCAAT